CAAAGAGGGCAGGCTCAGGATCCTAAACCACTGAAAAAGACCATTTAAATCCTGCTATTTGAGCATCATATTGGTGTCTTTTGGTTGGTTAATGATTGAACAGATTTTGTTTTTAAAAAAAATAGCAATAACACTATGATACTGCTCTTGTGTTCTTTTCTGGATTAATATTTGTACAGGGTTGTTGTTAATGGCATAGATCTATAGTCTAAACAGATACAAAGCGTTAAATTCTACAAGAGTAACTAGCAAATAATAGTGTTTTACTGCAAATGGGTTGCTTCAGCTCCAGGTGTAGTCATTGGACATATCGCAGTTGGCTTGAAACGGGCTGGAAGTCAGTGGATTTCCTTCCCTCTTCCCCAAACCTCTCCAAATGGTTTTTAGTGTCTTCTGTCTTGGACCACGGAAAGGGTCTTTTGGCTTCATGGTGGCACTGTGGCACAGAAGATCCAGGATTAGTCCCCTTTTTGTCTTTATCTCTATAGGGTTATTTTGTTATTGTTTATAGTTTGTGAAATTGGGCTCCCTGCCAACGAGAAAGCAAAGAGGAAAACTCTCTTTGTGACAATTTTCATACATCTGGTACTACTATAAATATTTTATGCTATTAATAATAAATAGCAGTTTTATAGAAATAGTTTCCTTTCCTGGGCTGTGATAGGACAGCTGTCTAGTTTGTAATTTTATAATTTGTCCTACAGGCTATTTTGTGTTAACGGCATATCAACTTCARTAGGGAATTCCACTTAAAACCTGATGGCCCAATAGATAACCTCATATTTTTGGCTGAAGGCTGGTATAGCCATTTATATTTCCACTGCTTGTCTCTGGGTACCTATTTAGAGAGGCTTGGGAGGAAGAAGTTGGTGGGCTTTCCAGGTGTTTCCTGCAAGTGAAAGATGAATGTGCTAGAAACAATTACGTTGAATTATGGTGTGAGATAGTTGGAAAATTACCTGTCCCCTCCCTACAAATTCTGTTTTACTTTCTTCAGAATCATCTGGGATTTTGCCATTGAGAATAGGACCACAATTCAGGTGAACATAACTGAAATTGGGACAGCATTTCAATGCTTTATCCAGAAAGAGGCTCTATCACACAGGTATTACRGAAGTACCAAGTGTCTGTTTCTCAATCTTTTAACTTGTGCGGGGAAACATCTCTAAACTCCATTAGTTTAGCAGGATTTTAGTCCTGCAGGACTTTAGTCCTGCATTTTAGCAGGACTTCTTGTGGCACAGAAATTGCTTTCACTAGCTGAAGGATATTCTCATTAAATGAAAGTCTGTGCCTCAAAAAACATCCAGGAAGATGCAAAGATAGGAATGGAGAACAAAGAGCAAGGGAAGAAGAGCAATCCCCTGTTTTATTGCGAATAGCCAAGTACAGGTTCTGAGTTACACCTGGTGGAAGTTGGTACGTGCAGCGATGTACTAATGTACAAAGAGGTGACTCCTCTTTGGGCAGGAGGAAAAGTCTCTAATGGACTTAAGTAGCTTTCTCTGTGTTTTGTCAAATGTTTCTGTCCCTTCATAATGGATGACTTTACTTAGCAGGGTTCTCCAGCTCATATGGACTAAGCTGTTGGCTAACAGGTGAATTGGAAAGCTTGGAAGCCATGTCTGGAACAGTTGCCCTCACAAAAATCTTGATTGGCAAGTTGAGTTTAATACTTCTAACATTAGTAGCAGATACTGGAACCCACTGACTAGTTCTCAGATATTTCACAGCCAGGTACTGGCATCCACTATGCAGAGTCTTAACCCCCCAAGGCTATTTTGGCCCATTTTTTCACTCTTTCAAATAAGCTTGCCTTTCATAAATCTGTTGCTCATTTAAAGCAAACTTTCTGCTTGCATCAGAAATTACTTCCAGCATAGGATATGAAACATTCTGCAATATGTTATAAAATGAGGACTGGATTCACTGCTTAAAGAAAAGTAGTTTGCTTCAAATGGATCATTTATTGCTACCTTCATGCTGTATATTTATTGTGAGGATATTGTCACATTTCTTTCAGTTTTGAAAATGTTAAGTTGGATTTTCTCTTTCAGGTTGCCATCTGGTGTATTGAGAACAGTCTCAGAGAGTAAGAGGCCATCTGTTAATACTTTTTCAGGAAGCTTTTTATAGAGCAGTGAAGTGGCAAATCTCAAAAACACGTTGTAATGACTTACAAGATCCCGGGTATGTGTGCTAGGAGAGGCTGATATTTTATTCTCCTCAACTATATACTTATCAGGTTAGGAAGGAAGGAAAGGAAGAGAAGAAAGAGCTTGCACACAAAAGGACATGCATTTTAATGCTTTGTTGCATATATTACTTTTTTCTATTTTTACATAAAATGATAGTTTCTGAGCTCTGATTCCATTTGTACTGGTGTTCTTAAGCCAGACTGATTGCCTTTTGGAGAAATGGTTTCCTCTTTAGCCATTAATAGGAGAATCAATTGATCAAGAATTTTACCTAATAACACCAAAAAGCAAAGTAGCTCGCATTTACTGTCGCGTGTGATTTGGCTTCTCTGGTGGCTAGTATGCATAAGAGGAGAGGCTGATGTATCTGTCTGCTGCAACATGGTTGCCAGGCAGGRAGGCCTCTAGTTGTGACCTTCTATGTTTAGGCAACCTGAGGTTCAGTATCTGGTATAAACCTAGAGCAGAAAGTTCCAGATACAGCCCCACAAGTGTCTTTGGATCTTAGACTMAAATTTGAAATGCTCCTTTGGTTATTAATGGTAGCAGTAGAAGGCACAACCGATAAAAGTGTTACTAAATCAACATGGAAGTATTCTGACCAAAGCGCAACRAAAAGATGGGGAAGGAGCTAGGTGAGAGAGGGACCAATTAAATGCATGCACTGAAGCTTGGTACAGAGAGCTGCAGGACGAGCTTTCCCTGATGCTGCATCTCTGTGTGTCTGACACATCACTGCCTCCAAGTTCTCTGCCCGTGGCTATGTTGTGCATTGGGAGGAAGCGAGAAAGTTCTTAGCAATTTTCTGGAATACTGATGATAGCTTAAAAAATAATCCCCAAGCAAACAAACAGCAATCATGCTACTGATGAATGTCATGGTTTTATAGTAGGACAAACTGAAGACGTGGTGAGGTGACCTTTGTGATGCTTCCCATCAGCCCTTTGGTACAAGAATAATAMGTACTGAGCTTTCTGAATATCTTTCCATTGTTTCTATGTGCTAAGCCACTTTTTTATTTTTTTTCCCCCACTTTATTTTCTCCTAATTCTGTGGTAGCAGGAACACCTAGATCTATGTTGTGTGCCTGTCATGAGTAGTGTTGAGGTTTCTCACAATTCTCTTTTGGCCTCTGTGAGAGAAAACATGAGAATGCACTTGGCTTCTTTCAGGCTCAGGTATGTTGAAAATACTCAGAGAAGCCTTGAACAGTGGCCTAGGAAGGAAGGGACATGTTGGTTGTCTGGGCAAGTGACTATAGCTTTGATACAGCAGAAGTACATGGTGACAGCTGTTTTTAGAGTGTTAACATACCTCCAGTGTGAATGCTGCATTCCTCTTTAGCTGGTGCATTAACTAAAATGGTCCAGTCAAGTACATATTTCTATATTTTATGCTATATTAATTCTCTCTGCTTTGTCTGTTGCAGCAACAGGATTTCATGCTGATATTTTGAGGTTTCCCTCTATGGGACCAGTCCTGCTCCAGTGAAGAGCAGTAGCAAAATCTTTTTCTGTTCAGTTGTTCTGAATTGGATAGTGGGACATCAAAATACTATCCAGGTTCCATGGGCAATAAATGTGTGTGCTRCTGTGAGTGCATCAAGGTCATATACACCTGTAGTGAGGGCTATTCAGACAGCATTGTGCTTAAATGTTATCATCATTTAATGTTATCATCATTTAAACAAAACCAGGCAGCTTGAAAAGGAAAGGCAGCATGAATATCACCATAAAATTAAGCACACTAGCCAGCAGTGAGAGAATTTAAAGCCTATAAGTTCGAAGGGTTTGTAAAAAAAAAAAAAAAACAAAAAAAAACAAAAACAAACAAAAAAACCCACCACCACAGAGATTGTTTTTCAGTTCTAACAACCTCTAGAAACAGAGAATTAAAATTGCACCCATCTGTGCTCAGAATAATAGAATTCAGCTCTGTGTAACGGTATCCAGCAGTGGCCAGAGTCTCTTCTAAAAGTTTTATTWAAAAAAAAACTTTTTCCAAATTAATTATATTCAAAGAGTTGATTTTTTTTAATTGAGATGAAAATCATTTTTTTCATTCTTTGTCTTTCCCCTGCCTTTTTTTTTTAATTAAGGAAAAATCTGAATGGCAGAAATTGGGAAGAGGCTGCATTTTTTGTTCAAAAAAGTGTAATATGTTTTTTGTGACAAGTAATTTTTTCCATCTAATCGATTTGCTGGATAGTCTTCACTTAACCAAAGGTGAGAAACAAAAGGTTTCTATTGCACTAGGACTACTAGAATCCTGCTGCTGATTTGATGCTAGTAAGGAGTTGACAGAAATTAGTTCTGTTGTCCCTATTCTTTGTCCTCAAGACAAACTTAGGAAATCTTGACTGGCAGTTGCTCTGCACTCCGCTATCCTGCTTTCTTTGTTAAGCTTAGGTAAAACTGCTGGACAATATTCTGAGGCATCAGTGAACTGGTTTGAGGTCCCTCACCCTTTCCATGTCCATTCCACATTTGTTGCTAGGTCAGCATGTGGGCAAAAAGCTCATGTCTGAGAAAGATCTTTTAGAGATGAGAACTTGTAGAAATCCCCTAAAAGTTACCTGTCAACGGCTTAGTGCTAGGAATTGCAACTTACCTGGCTGTTGCAGGCTCCTGAGCACCTTCTAGATGCCTTGGACAACGGTAAAGGGCCCAAACACCTGCAACTAAATGTGTTTTGCTTTTGAACTATGTACTGACAGATTTATCTTGGCCAGGTTGATCCTCATTGTGCTTTGTTTGCAGACAAGAAAACAAAGACCATGAAAATTGCCATCTTGTCTAGGTTGTCTCCACCCACAGCTGAGCAGCGTTCTCCACTGTCTGCCCACTGGAGACCACATTGAATTCAGGGTGTGTGTGATGCTGATTTTCAAGTCCCTTAGATAGAGTGCAACCTCTTTTCGTCAGAACTGAGATGGCACTGTCACGCTTGTGATCTGCACTGGAGGGACGCTGGTGTAATCTGGAGCCTAGGCCTCTCCAAGTCTTAGAAAGGTAACTTCCTCTGTTGTGGTTTGTTTTATTTTACTGTGCTTCAAGTCTATTAGCCAGCATTGTGCTGATTTACTAGGGTAACAAAATATGAAAGATTGAATCTAGTCCTGTCTAGGGTTAAGAGTCTGTAAATCTTGTGTGTTGCCGAGACAAGGAATAGTTTAAACACTGCACACATTCTAGCCTCTGCAGTAAGGATGGGTATTTTGTTTTGAGGATTTTTCTCCTTATCTCAACTGCTCTACCATTTGGCTATCTGAAGCTTTTGCATGCCTCGCAAACACCATCTGTTACAACCCAAGACACAAATACTGCGAGTGATTAGTAATATAAGCCAATGTTGCAGCTGTATGTGGTGTGGAAACCTGATAGAAGCTGAACTTCCTTTGTAAGCCTGACATGCTGAATAGTGCATTTGTGGTTTGTCTGAGCTTTTGCATTCATCAATTAAAGATTAACTTTCTGCTGCTGTGGAGACATGCTAGATGAAAAAGAAAAAAGGGAAGTCTATAAAGAAAACAAGTGAGTTCCATATTCCAGGAAACATTATTGGAGTAAGTRAAGTACCTAGGATAGAGGGAGTCCCTAGTAGGGAATGTTTCCAAGGGCCGCATCCTAATACCTTGTTAGATTAATCTTTTAATCTCTTAATATTTTTGTCAATGCTCTTCCTAAAGTTATAAAACATTGAAAATACACATCCTGCAGGAACTATTCTAAATACTGATATATATTCCTGCTGTTATTCAGTGTATTCAGCTCACAGCACTCTCCAACCTGTATTTTAGAGCTCCAGCTTCCTTTCTGGAGGAACACTATTTGTGCTCATGTGTGTGCATGGAAGATGATCAGGAAAGGAGAGGAAGATGCGTGTTTGCAGGATAACTGACTCAATGCACTGCAATCCAATTCAGCCTAGGAGCCTGCAGCTCTGAAATGATAAGGTGAGTCCATTTTTAATGATGAATAAAAAGAACTGTCCAAATGAAGAAGCATAATAGTCTTTTAATACCCTAATCTTCCTAAACTGTGAGGAGGATATGTGCTTGGACAAGGGCAAGTGTGTTCCTGCACCAGGAACCACYGAGGACTGTTCAGTGGCCCATTTTTTGTGATGGACTAGATGGCAAATGAAGTAGCTGGACCTTTGCTAGTATGAAGTTCCTTATGGAGATTTGATAACTCTTGTCTAGTCTGTTGCATATTTCAGAGCACTAAACAGGCATGCACTAATGTCCTGCTAGTTGCCCTTTACTGTGTATTATGAAGTATAAGGCAGCAGGATTGTGAGCAGCTGTGATTTAAACGACTTAAATTTACTCTGGATTAAATATTTGCCTTTCATGTTTGATTTCTCATTAACTGAGAATTTACAAAGTCAAGTACACAGTCCCATTCTTATTTGTAAACTTGCAGCTTTCTCTTTTAATGTCTAATAATAAGTTCTCCCCTTCTGGTKGTTTAATGTATCGCTTGTGATTCCGTTTTGACAAATCTTTCAGCAGTTCACAAAACTCTTTGTTGTAAGGAAATAAATATCCTGCTGACTCAATAGGAAAGAGATGCTTTTTGTCCATTGAAAAATATTGCAGCCCTTTAGATTGGTCACTGTTACTTATCTGAATAGTGCTATTAGAGAGAGGAAAAGGGCACTTTATTCGTCCAAAGAAAGCATTCAAGGGTACTGAAGTATGTAGGGCAAGGTTATCAAGGCTTTACTTTGAGAGTATCTGGTTTTGCTTTTGAAAGACCATCTCATGTGTGATATTTGTCTGTGTTAAATGCGTTGCCTTTATTGCAATAGCTTTTCTTTTTTTAATTACAAAATGCTGACAAAATGTTTTGTAGTTATGTATTATAACTACATTAACCAGGTACATTAGGATCTGTGGATATAGCAGCTGATGCATTTTTTGTCACTTATATAATGAACCTTCTGCCTGTACAGAATAAAATATTTATCTGTAATGCTGGAGACTGGAGGAGGGAAAAAACAGACTGCCTGCAGTGAATAATTGTTACAATCTTATTGTCCTTTGCAAAGTTGTTAATTAAGGCCTTTTCTAAGCAGACTGCTTACAGGAGTCCCACTGAAGTCAGGTTGCTGTACTCTCGTGCATCTGTTCACTTTGCTGTTGTTAATACATTTAATATGAGTTCTCTAAGTTTCATCTTCAGGAGAAATGAATATTTGGGGAGTGTCTTGTAACACACTTTCTCTTCCCTGCATGGCCCATTATTTCTTATAGTAAGAAAGAAAAACAGAATTCTTGAAGGAGACTCAATAGCAGAGAAACTGGTGCTTCCATCACCAATATTACAGCCATATAAGCCTTCCAGGGTTATGGGACTGTTACTTCATTTGCAGGTGCTCTCTCAAGTTTTCCTGTAAGGAGCAAAATATGTGGATACCTTGCCTAGAAAAGTATAGTTCATATTGTTTTTAATATTAGATTTCTGTAGCAACTAGAAGGCCTAGTCAGAGGTTTTGACCATTTTGGTAGGCAAGGAGAACAGCACAAGGAAAGAGTATGCTAAGGGAAGAGGTCTGAGTCAAAATTGACCTGTTACTGTTGAGATCTTTGTAGACATTACAGGAAAGGAAAATTTTGCACAACTGAATTAGTTTTTAGGATGTTTCCTGCCTGAGGAGAGAGCATGGGAGGAAGGAAAGAAAGCAAAAACGTCCTAATTTTCAAAGGTACACGATGGAGAAGCTTGGTGCCAAGTGCTGATGGTAGGCAAGCATTGACATCTTGGGAGCAGATGAGAGGAAATGGGAAGTGTCAGTAAATCATACGTAGCCTCGAAAGTTAAGGCAAACAACTCATAAATAACTGAGAAGGGACAGCCCAAGGAGGAAGGAGAAAAAGTGACACACGATCAAGGAGATGAGCTAGGGAAAAAAGTATTTGCAGAACCATCTGGAAGGAATGGCAGCAAGAGAAGCTTATATTGGCAAGGCCAATGAGAAGAAAGTCAATAACAGAAGTTACAAAGTCAGTAACAGAAGGATGGACCAGTTTCTGTGTCAAAAGACAGGAAGAAGGGTTAAAAGGGTGGAAAGGCAAAAAGAGTCAGTGTGGGGCATTCTTGAGATGATAGAACCTGAATAGGCAGAAGAACCAGAGGAGAATAAGAAGTGACATGAGGATGAGAAAGCTTTATGGGGCGGTGAAGGTGCTAGCAGAAGCCAAGTCATTTCTGCATCTGACAGAAAAGGAGGAAGAAAAAGATAGAGGGGAATGTTAAAGCACAGTCAAAGTTCAATAGTCTAGTATCCACCTTTTCTTGGAAGAAAGTTGACAAAATCCTTTGTGGATAAAGAAGAGGAGACAATAGATTATGGTTGTGCCTTAATTTATTCAGAAAAACAAACTTCTTTAGGAAAAGGACAGAGAGAATGGACTATTAATGCAAAAAGCTATTTTGTCTTCACAATTCTGCTGGAGTTGCTTTCTTCAGTGAATGAGCAGAAGCAGTRGAAATGATGGTCATCATATATGGAGGGATGGAAAGTACCTTGTTATGGGAGAAAGGGAAAAGGAGACAAGAGTTGAAAAGACCAAGGAAAGTAAACTACTTTATACATGGAAGAGACAGAAAAGAAGATAGTAAGCAGAACTTGAGGCAAACAAATTTTCTGCAAGTGTAACAGGTAGAAATAATGAAGGAATGAATAAGGAGGTGAAATAATGAAGGAATGAGATGAAGAAAGTGGGCAGAGCTAGTAAGGGTAGTTTCTTTGCCAGAGTCAAGCCAGATCTGAAGATGGGAGGCCAAACAGATAAGTAGCCAAGAGCTCGGAGCACCAATACGAGGTCATAGAGGTGAAGATGAAGGACAGCCAGGTGTCAAAGGTGGGGAGGAAGGTTTAGAAGAAGCAGCTGGGTCTATCGTTGGCAGTTGCAATATTGGGGGGAGGGGGGCAAGATGGCAGACTTCATAGTTTACAGTATCAGCAGATACAATATCTTTCTGCTGCTTAATTAGTTTAATTAGGTCAGTTATTTTAAGCTAGAACACATACTTCATAGCACTCTGCAGTATTTGCAAAAATAGGATTAAAACAAATTCAACAAATATAATTGAGAAGGAGCCCCCGGTTGCTGAGTGTGGTAGAGAGCTGTTCCGTATTTTGTGTGTGGGTGACTGTACTGGGATGCAGCGGGAGCCGCACGGCTGGGCTTGCTAATCCTGGCTGAGGGCACGGGCAGCAATCTTGCCAGCTGAGAACTGCCCAGGATCCATCTCCCYGTGCCCGGCCTCTGCCAGAGAGCGGGGGAGCCCTGCAGGGGCTGTGGGGACAGGGCAGCCACCCAGCTTAGGGCTTCCCAGCTGCTGACCCAGCCGCCAGCAATTTGTAGCTGCCAGATTTGGTGAGCCAGTCAGGTCCTTTGATCCCTAATTTCTTCCRTCTTTAGTGAAATCACTTTTCTGAGAGAAAGCCCTGCCTCTACCAGCAGAGGTTGCTGCTGTTCTCTTCACCTCCTTTTCTTCTCAAGCGAGCTAACCTGTCATGTCAAGCATTTATCTGAAAGCGGTGGGAATTGTGAAGCTTTAATGTTTCCCAGACTGTAGTCTGCCACATTAACAAATCTTTCACTTTTCCGAAGATGATAGTGTCAATCATGGTGACAGGCTGAAAGACACCATTCATTGTTAATTAATTATTAGCTGTCAACTCAAAGACTTTGTTGAACTAAGAACATTCAGGCAGATTGTGGATTTTCTCTTCTTTAAACTTTGTGTTTAAAGGACACTAAATACCCTTAATTATCAAAGTAAGTTGAAATCCTTTCATACCTCTTTCTTCTGCAGGTGACTGCTTCAGGTACAATATTAATTATAAATAGAATGAAGATGCTGTAGCCTTCTTAGTGCTGATTTATGTTTTCATAATGGATGAACTAAAAAGGAAGAAGTTTCCTTTCTTTGCTTTGGTAACAGCCCATGATCCCTGGGCTGCCTCGAGTTCTGTTGTATGTAGAGGAAAGCAAGTGAGTGTTTGTGGAGAAGGCCCGAGGGCTGTTCAGCCTGGAGCACGGCCTGTGGTTTTGTGTCTGACTGCTGCTCACATCCATGCATTTGAGCTGATGGGACCTTTTGGTTTCACTCTTGCTTCTGTTAGACTTTGGCCAGAGAAGTGAGGAGATAGCTTTCCAGTTTGGGCTCCCCTAGATGAGAATGAACTTCTTGATGTGTTTTTCCTGAGTGATCTGATTTTTCATCAGTTCTGTGAATGTCCAGCTGCTGTTGTATACTTTCTAATGTGAGAGCCTCACCCTTACACCTGAAGATGCTTCTAATATAGACTGTTATTTTAGGAGGGGAGCAACAGGCATTGCCCAAGCCAGGAAGGCAGTTTGTGTGCCTAAGTGCTTGCAGAATGAGGCTCCAAGTTTAAAAACACAGGCCAATTTTTTCTGCATTTGGGCATGGCTGAACACAAAGGGATCCAAAAATACTCACCTACCTCACAGGAGTGCTCTGAGGCTTAATTAATGCGTATGGGTAAAATGCTTTGAGATCCTCAGGTCATAATGATACTTAGCACTTTATATCTTCAAAGCCCCATACCCAATGCGAAGGAACTAATCCCAAACTAATTAGGCAAAAGGCACTATAAAAGTGCCAAGTGTTGTTATTTGCCTTAAAGTATTATTATTTAATCACAAATTGCCTCAAAGTGAAGTGTGACTGTATGAGATTAGAGACATCGTAATTAAGGCCTTGATTTAATATTTTAAAATTATTCAGCACACTTCAATACAGCACTTGAAATTTCTTTCATTCTTTCCCAAATACCCGACACACATTTTAATTTTTGTAAACACTGTATCCTCATCACTTAATAGGCTTTCCCTCTCCTCTCAGTTGTGTGCCCTTAGGATGTTGCAGTGCTGAGGGAAGATAGTTTGGTGAACATGAATTTAGCCAAGTT